CGTGGAGAATGCACTGAAAGTCGGAACCCTGTTCCGAAATGCAAGCCATCCTATCGAACGAATATATGAGTTATGTGGGCAATCTTCACTGCAGGTGCTGGGTCTGGCAAATTCACCAAAAGCCAATGTCGATAACCTTCAAATCCGCGCAACTACAGGATCAGCATACAAACTACCCCAGATATCTTGTGCCCGGGCATCAACAAATCAAATAGTCGTATTTGATCGACCTCAGCCCAATAGGATGCAATACATATCTTTAAAGCCGATATCATTAGCACTGGACGATAAGGCTGAAATGACATTTCATGCACCAGACAGTGTTGATGCTGAGGAAGAACGAGAGGAATTAAGACAGAGAAAGAGGACTCAGGAACTGGTCGAAAAGTTGAAGTATCACTCGGTCGTGAAACATCCACCATCCCAAAAAGAACTTGCCTTGCCAAGAATAGTCAATCAAGTCAATTGTGCTTGGGAGGTCCATCAACTATTACAGAAAAATATCTCGCTAGTTGGAGCTCGGTCAAGGAGAAGTCTGAGCGTATCCGAAAGAGTGGTGGAGTCGGCAACCACGATGCGTGATTTCGTTCTTTTGACAATATGGCAAATGATCACACTCTACATATATCCTATCCTCAGGCGTGGATTCGTCATTGGCCTCATGTGCCATAGGCTTGCTGCCGAAGCTTTACTGTTGATTTTAGAATGGAGGGCTAAGCCAGATTATGCAGCTCTGAAAGATATCTCTGCAACCGCACAGCAGGTGGAAATACGCTTACAGCAATTCTGTTATTGGCCTATGCAATACGTCACTCTTCGGAGGAGCAAAAGAGATTGGGGTAGTGTGACGACAAGCCATCCGGACTATATAAGATTTTACAATAGTCTTTGGCTAGTCGCAAACGACGTGATAATTGGAATTGCGTTGGGGTCTTACATCATTGACAATTCTTCATGGGTTTCAGAAACCATTAGTGATATCCTGAGCACTTATTCTATAGCTGCACTACAAAGGACGATAACTTGGTTGAAGGATTGGCCGGCTGGCTTGAAACTTAATACCGAATTGGCTGCTTTCTTAGGTGATTTATTCTTATGGGTCATCGAACATTGGTCAAGTATATTTATCTCCTGCTCCAATAGACTATACATGAGCTAACTTTCACAGGCTGTATTGAAGCTTTACATCCAGTATTGCCTCATGTTATATGGGTCGTTGGTTTTTCCAGTTTTGCTGGAGCCAGCATGCCAATCGCCCTGTTTTCCGATTTACTCACCATTCTAACACTTCACATTTACTCGTTTTACATGGCTTCGGCACGTATCTTCAATTGGCAGTATACGATTCTCCTCTCCTTATTTCAACTATTCCGCGGCAAGAAGCATAACGTTCTTCGAAAACGTATCGACTCTTGTGATTATGATCTCGATCAATTATTGCTCGGCACGATTTTGTTCACATTACTCTTCTTTCTCTTGCCTACAGTACTTGTATTCTACTTGGCATTTGCATGTGCACGCATGGCGATCATCTCATTAAAAGCCGTTTTAGACGCCTTACTTGCGTGCCTAAATCATTTCCCACTCTTTGCATTAATGTTACGACTTAAAGATTCTCAACGATTGCCAGGTTTGTTCTCACCCAATGTTTTCAGACTACATCATGCTGACATACAAAGGTGGCATACGATTTGAACTTCGAGATACTCAACAACTTGCAAGTCAAATACCCAGTACTCCATGTCCCGCTCCAACGTCTTATATTTATCTCAAAGTATGATTATTCTCCTCTCGTGCGTCTATATTAACATTACTAACACAAAAATCCAATAGTCCGTCCCACTCACTTTCCGTGCCATGTTCCACCAATATTTCCAACTCGGACACCGTATTCGTAAACACTACGCCTCACCCCGCGTCCTCCTCTGTCTCGCAACAGGCAAATTCGTCCCGCCTATCCATCGTAAAAATCTTTACTCTCTTCAATATAGCATGTTACCAGCACGTAGAGCGGGGATCATGGATATGTGGTATGCATTAACGGCGAGCTCGGATGAGGGAAAGGAAAAGGATAAGAGGAGGGGTAGTGCTGGGTGGTTGAATAAAGGAGTGGCTAGTTTGGCCATGGGGAATGGAAATTTGAGGAGGGGGAATGGATATATGGCTAGGAGAGGTGGACATTAAAAAAAGGGGGTGGGATTGGTGATGGATGAAGGATGAGGAGATGGGGGATGGGGGATGAAGGAAATAATGAGGATGTTTTTGTATATATGGTTGAACTTGGTTTGAGTGAATGGGATGAGATAAGAAGAGATGAGATGAGATGAAATGAGATCAATACAGAGCGAGGGGAGGGGAGGGGTTGGGGCCGATAGGTAGGTTTTGTATGTACTGTAGCATGTAGATACGGATGATTACCTCCCTAGTAGGTACTTAATAATAATATTTCCAAAATCATAATTATTTAAATTATTTAAATCATTCAAATCATTCAAATCAATTAGATGTGGTTATATATATATCATTTAAATTACATAAGCAAATCCTGTTAAAATATAATGTCAAATGACCCAATAAATAGATGATAATTCTATTGGAGTTTTAATGTAAAGTGAATAACGTAATACAGATTAATCTTTAATAAAGAATGATCAATTGGTTGATGATATGGATGAGATGGATGAGATGAAATGAAATGAGGTGACTGGAACTGGAATTGTAACTGGAACTGGAACTGGAACTGGGAGGGACGTTCATGTTGAGGTGATGTTGGAAGAAGGAAAGGAAGTTGGTTTTGGTTTGGTGTAAGTAATTCCATGACGTCATTATTATATCACATCACATCACATCATACCTAGGTATTAATTGATCCAAAGCAAGAACAAGAACAAGAACAAGAACAGAAGGAATTGATGCAGGTGATGTCTGGTTCTGGTTCTTGCAGGTAGGTATGTAGGTATGGTATGGTATGGTATGGTATGATATTTATATACCTATTTAAACTTCCTTTGATGTTCTCTATTATTTATTCTTTTTTCATCTTCTTTATATCAATAAATGTCATCTTGAATTCAATTCACATTATTTCTTTGAAGAATCTAAGGAATCTGAAGAATCTGAGGAATCTGAGGAATTTCTCTCCATAGGTATACAATACAATACAAATACACCCACCTTCCAAATCCAAATCCCAAATCCAAAATCAACCCCCTCAAAAGCACTTCAAAATGCAATCCATAACCCGCACTCTCACCCGACAATCGCGCATCCTCCAACCTATCAGAACCATCCAATCCAACCAAGCCATCCGACCCTTCACAACCACCATCGCAGCACGAAAAACCGCCACCGAAACCGTCAGGGAAACGGTCAAGAAGGTCGATAAGGCGGTTGCTAGTAAAATCGTTGATGGTATTGAAGTTGGTCGTATGTTTTTTTTTGGTTTGGCGTTGCTTTGCTTCACTGAACATATCACCATATATCCATATATCCAAACCCAAAGCTAAACTAAAAGCTATACCCAAAGCTAAACCCATCCACATTCTCATACTCCATCACTTTAAGTTTCCCATCACCTACCTACCTTTATGTTAATTTATATATACATACACATACATACATACATGCATACATACTAACCCCACGCACTACTACTAGAAAGCGCCGCGCAAAAAGCCAAAGCCGTAGCCGGACTAAGCAAAAGCGAAGCGAAAGGGAAAGCCGCGGAGGTGAAGGGAGAGGTTAAGGGGAAGGCGGAGGAGGTGAAGGGGGAGGTGAAGGGGAAGGCGGAGGAGTTGTAGGTTGTTGGTTGGACATTTTGGGAAGGGGGAGGGGGAGGGGGGAGGAGTTGTAGGTTGTTGGTTGGGAATTTGGGAGGGGGGAGGGGGGGAAGGGGGAGGGTTGATGGGTTGAGGGTTATGGATTGATTGTTGGGATGAGGGAGAAGTAAAGGGAGGATGGTATAAAGGCATATATGATTGCTAGTGGGGGACTTGTATTATATTATTATGGTGAAAATGAAGATGATGAAGATGAAGCACAGGACTGCACTGGACTAGTTTGGCATGGAATAATATTGTATTCAACTTATTTTCTAAATTATATTTACGATACTATAGTATAATCCGTCTTCACCATTTATAATGATACAAACACCTATATATAAACCCACGAAGTATATATAATCTATAGATATCTATCCAGATAGGTATATATAGGTAGGTATCTAATATAGAATCGAAAGGGTATAAAAGTAAAGCTTGTACTCCCCTTTCTTTTTCTAGCATTCCTGTCCTCCACTAGGCTTTTCGAACCGATTCGGGTCGTTCTATAATCGATTCGGGTTGGTTTAGGACTGTTTCGGATCGGAAAAACTGGTAGAAGGGTAGAAGGGTAGAATAAGAAAGATAAAGATAGGGCTTGAAGCTTTTCCTATACACTTCGCCTTCGATTCGAATTAGTTCTGTTACTTCTGTATTTAATTTTTCATTCAATTAAACTGACACTTGCATTAGTAACGCCTAGGAGGGGGAAAGTCATTTTATCACTTACCGTACCTTAGATTGATGATGTAGTAAAATCTCTACATCTAACTTATATACAAATGCCCAGGTAGTAAAATCCTACCATTATGAGCTTTAAACCTTAGGTTCATGATATGGTAAAATCCTAGGTAGGTACTACATCTAGAACGATCGATTCGGTTTGAAATAGAGAGTACGAGGATAGAAGAATAGAAGAGTAGAGAGATAGAAGGATAAGAAAATCGAGTAAAAGAATAGATGGACTATTATGATAATGGGTATTTTAGAAACGAATCGATTGTATAATTAAAATACTCTATTAAATTAATACTCGCATCACCAACACCTCTTGGTTTCATCATTTATCTTCATTCAATTACTACAGTCATCTATCAAGTACCTATGTCTTACTAAGCAAAATCTCCTTGATATAATAAAATAGATACCCCACCTTCAACAAATAACACAAACACTCAAGCGGCTTTAGCTCACTTGGGAGAGCGCCAGACTGAAGTCCACTTCGGTTCATTAATCTGGAGGCACTGTGTTCGATCCACAGAAGCCGCATTCTGCGAGTTGAGGCCCACCTCAATCATCATTCATTTTTTGCAATTTTTTTATTTTCTTTTTCTTTTTGTTTGGTTGGCTTTTTCTGCTTTACAATTCTTTTTCTCTTTGTGATTTATGGTTGATGTTCGGGTAATATATGTGGGTTGTGGATCTACCCCGCATTTCTATTGGATCAATGTGGGGCTCGAGGTATCTTAGTACTCTCTATCTAGAACATCATGATCAATATATCAAAGTTTATAACATTTTGGCATTTTAGGAGGCACCTTCAATCGCATATGTATTTCATCTTGTATAAGTCTATGCATAGGTACATCTGGGCAAAGAACCATACACAGTAGCATTGATCTTCATTTATTTATAATCGAGGAGAGTGGTGGGTTGATATCGTAAACACCGTTTGTTTATTCTTTTATCTCTGAGCACGAGTTTCGTTTTAATTTTAAACTATATCTTTATTTTATCTACCAAGACGAGTGTCTGGTATTGTAAACATGCTTCCCTTCTATGATGCGATTTGGGTATATGCATCAATATATACAGACTGTATACAGTCGATATATATGCAGCTGATGCAGATCAGATGGTAAACTAAGCATGATACGAAGTGAGATGGACGAGGGTGCCGTTTTAAAGATCCCAGAAAATTTTTTGGATGTTGTTGATTGTGGTGGGATATATATTTGTTGATGGGTAGCTGAAGATTAGTTGATGATGATAATAATAATAATGATGATGATGATATATTGAGTCCTACCATTTCCACCCTCTCATCTGGAAAATGAACGGACATATTTTGATATCCACAGGAGAGGAGGCGCAAAGAAATATCCAAGACTCGTCGAGAGAGCTAGAGCTGGAACTTGAAGTTTTTCTGCAGAGCTAGGGTCATGGATAAAATGCAAATCGAAATTTTAATCTCTTCACTTATTTTATACACTGATTTGATTTTCCTTCCCTTCATATATATATATATATATCATGGCAACTTGAAAATCTCAAATTTTGAAGTCTCGTCGGATAATTATATCGGTAATGAATTATGCTATGTGTATGTATCTTTCTTGTCTTTCGACAACTTGGGATTCGATATCTTGAAATTCTATTCTTTCTGTTTGGACATTTTAATAGGAGGTATACAGAGGGAGCACCCTTAATCTTTCATCATCTCGTCTCATCTTATCTGCTCACCTCGCCTCTCCTTTTATTCTGCACCTCTACGTTTTTTCGTTTTTTGTCGATTTAATCATATAACCAGAAATATTCAATTGGAAATTGGAAATATAATCTTTCCAAATTTACACAGGGTGCACATACATCCATCCATTTATCTTTATAGACACCAGCCTCTTTTCCCAATAAAAAATAAGATTCCATGACTATAAATTATATATCCCCTTCCATCCCTTCCCATATCATCAAGTATCAAGTATCAAGCACCCATTCAAATCAAACAACAAACCCTTAGAAATACCCAGGAAATATTAGTCCGGATTATATATATTACAAACCTATTCCTCCTTCCTTGATTTCTATTCTCCGAGTTGTATAATACTGTAGGTTGAAATAATAGTCTCAGAGATTCCTTTAGAATATTACTTCATTATATTACATTACATGACATCAGATCCCAGAACGAAATTCGATTCGAAGTTTGATTGTTATTTGTGGGTATTATAATTATATTTTGTGTTATATGTTTAATATATGTATGTTTAACATATGTTTGTTTGTGTTGGAGATATGGTATAATAATTATGATATGATTCAATGAGGAGGGGATGGAGAAGTGAAGTGAAGTGAAGTGAAGTGAAATGCTTGGAATATCTGTATCACATCATAATTCAACCCCCAAGTTCAAACCCCTCTAGAAATTTACCTATCTACATATAATTATCGCAAAGCGTGGATGTACGTACGACTTATAGATATTCTATTATACTATTTATATATACATATACATATACTTTACTTTACAACGGATAGGTATACAAATAATTATAATTATAATCAAGTATATACATCTATACTATACCATACCATACCATACCATACCATACCATACCATACCATACCATACCATACCATACCATACCATACCATACCATACCATACCATACCATACCATACCATACCATACCATACCATACCATACCATACCATACCATACCATACCATACCATACCAACCCTCCTCTCTTTCCCTCTTCTCCCCCCTCTCCCTCCCTCTCCCTCCCCCTTCTTCTTTCCACATCGAATATAAAAAAAAGACCACCAATGCCAATACCCGTTGTCTCATTAATGATCAATAATCAATACATCAATACATCATCACATCAATACATCACCAAGAAACCCATCCCATCCCATCCCATTCCATTCCCTTTCCACTTCCACTTCCACTTCCACCTTCTCCACCCCAAACAAACAAAACCAAAACGACCAATATATTACCTGAAGCTAAATTTCAACCTCAACCTCGACCTCAACCTCGACCTCCGTTCAGAACTCTATGGTTGGTTTCAACTTTCAAGATAGTGGTTAATGGTTAATGGTTATGAAAAGAAATTCTAGAGATTTATGATGATTGTAGGTGTAGGTGTAAGGGAAAGAAAGAAAGAAAGAAAAAAAAAAGAAAGAAAGAAAGAAGGTATGATATGATATGATATGAAATCGAGAAATCGCACATTTGAAATATGACCTTGTAAACTGCATTTAGATTATTGGGTAGGTAGGTAGGTAGGTATGATCTCACAGTTCAAATTTCAGACCAGGAAATGAGCAACAGTCGAGACGTGTAGTGTAATTCACTTTATTAGTCTATAAATAGGTAGGTAAGAGGAGTTCAACCCCTCACGTGAATTTCTCGCGCGTCTTGCACGTATAAGATGCTTCTACCGAAAGGAAGACGTCCCGCTTGTCGGTAATAAACATATATACCTCCTTGGAAAAAGTGTATCTAATGGCTTTCATGCCTGCCAATCCTGTTCGACTCCCCCATCCCTTCATTATCATCTCTGGCTGTGGCAGTTCTCGTAACGTAACTTTCAATCAATCAATCAATGTATGCATCCACCCACCCATCCTCGCGCCATATTCAGCAATGCACCTGCACTCGCTACTGCTCTCCCGTAGGTAAGAAGCCAAACCGCTAAACTCATGTCCGTAGACCCCACGCATTAACTCCAACCAACACCATCGTATGCGTACTCGTACATTTAAAAGCCATGCGAGGAACGAAACGTCGCTCCACGCGCGCGCCGTCATTAATCAAAAGAGTTCGAGAGTTCCATCACGAATCTTCCTCTCGAAGGTTATCTTTCCGTATTCGGAAGATAGCGTGTCGGTACACTCGGTACCAACCATCACGAAATGATAATCGACACTCTTGTAGCCTCGATCCATCATTCTCTCATTCATCCATTTCAACCACGTTCTCGCATATCCAATATCTACCCACTTTCTCTTCTGTCTCGCCGAGAGAGGTTTGAACGTGATGTCATTATCTTCATCGACGATTGTCGAGTTTCGTATCTCATTTATGACCACGTAAATGTTCTGCAGGGAGGGGAGTTTTTCTCGAATATTCGCAGCTGCATCGATATGAGTGAAGGTTTTTAGAGGGTTATCCGTAAGGCATGTTCGACGCATTGCCAAATTTTGAACCTTCATCATATGAGGGCTGGAGAGAAGAGCTTCGTAAAGAACGTGGGATTGTTCCACTTGCTCGGTAAGGTACATGATATCGCTTTGAAAGTTGACGTATGTTCCAAAGGCCCACGTATTTTGTGTCCGAGAGAGATACCATTCTCGAGACTCCTGGCAGACGTGTGCGATGTTTGAAAATGGGAGATGGGATGTTATTGAATCGGTGATCTTTCCGGTATTGCGATTGGTGTTATTCAAATGATGAACTTTGGGGAGGAGATCTTCAGCGAATACATATTCCCATATATCCAGGCGAAGCTCGGTTGGTAGTCGTTCGAATGAAGAAAAGCTTTGACCGACGACTTCATCTTGTATTCTGGGTCTCGAATCGATCTGGGGATACTTTATTTGACGATATTCGGATAGGTTTCTGCAAGCCAAGCCTTGTGACAAGAATGATCGAAGCTCAGATAGGTCCAAGTCTTGGATAAGTTCAATTATACTATGGTAATCCTTATGACTGTTGTGTTTCTTCAACACAATGTCAAGCCATTGATTTGGACACTTGGAAATCATATCTAGTTTGACATCCATTTGAAGCTCATGAGGATTTTTGAGGCAGTGTCGTCCAAGTCGTTGGATCAAGCTCTCCGTGGATGGGTTCATAACCTTCATGATTGCTGGCTTCAAAAGAGTAGAATGTATTGAATCGTTTTTTGAACGGTGATGAGGTGTGTATAATGATGAGGAAGTAGAACAGGAAGATGGAGAATCCAAAATGTAACCAAAAATATAGGACTGAGAAAAACGATAACTCTATACTTCTTATAAAGATATAAGTCCTGGTACCTTGATGATATTGATCAACCCAACAAGGTTGTAACGTGATGTCCAAAAGATATCGTGAATCATAATGGGAATTGCAAAGTTGGGTACGATGTTAACCATCAAGGTGCTTTTTCTTGGCTTTATGTGATTGCTCCATTGTAACTTCCACCTTCGTGACCGGAAAGTGTACAAATGAACTAAAATCTCGTTTTGAAACTGATACCGGTAGTAGACAAATGAAGAAACTGCTCATCTCATTAGATGATTTTTCAGTCGTGAAGGAGAAAGGAAGAAAATAACCTTACAGCAAATAGATTTACTCTATCCAAATATGGAAACTATGTTCTTGGATCCCGTACCATTATACTTTTCTATTTCACATTAGTACATTTATTACAAAGTCCTGTCCATCACTCCATTGCCATGAGGGTTATCATATCATTGCCCTGGGTACATAGTTACCATCAAATACGTGAGGTTATCATCATGCTCAAGACATATGAAGTTTGATATTCCTTAGTA